ATAAATGGCTTTTCACTACCTGGGTATGGTATTCACGGCTCCAATAAATGGAATCACGTCTTTGTCATTAATAAGTAGTCAAGTTTGAAAAACTTTGACTATTACTTGAATTATGAATAGCTTATGGCTCTAAAATTAATTTTATAAGATTTATAATCTCTTTACTTCAAAGTTCTATACCTATTTTAATTCATATGGAAATAGGTAGTCTCACAAATCTAGCATTCCAGGAACATTAAAAATTTCAAAGCATTGTGGATTAGAGTGGAAAAAATTTAATTTTCTGTTTCTGGCCACTAACAGATTTTTTAAGACATGAGTTTGTTAAACTTTAATTTACTGCCTTACTCAGGAACCTAACTGGAGAATTTAATGAAATGAAAGTGTCCATGATTGAGAGCAATTATACCTGGTCTAATCACCATTACCAATTTTTTTCTTAACAATCAAGGAAAATTGGCACATTATGCCTGTGACTTTTTGGTACTTTTTGCCTCATGAAATGGTCTTTGTTATCTGCAATTTCTGAAAAATTTTGCCCAGTATTTTAGAATGGTGCTTAGAAAGATGTAGGCAGGTGAGAAATTTCATCATATAAAATGAGCTGTCTGTAGTCAATGGACCATGTATGATGTAGTTTGTGCTGGACTATCCCAATCTGATCAATTGTTAGAGACGATCATGCAGACAAAGTGGCTATGCCGGCAGCCATCACTGATCGTATGAATGGTCACTAAAACTTTCACAAGCATAACTGCAGGCCGTGAAGACCATAAGCAGGAAGATGCGCACCGTGCATGGAATTTGTGCTATCATTTTCACTATGCCCACAGTGCGTTGTAATTCGTTGTGAAATAAATGTGCCGTGCACCAAAATAAGTTTGAAACTGAATGCGCGATCTCACGTGAACGTATCCTGGCGTCGCACGGCAATGCACGTACGTGTATTACTGTACATACACCTGTCTCTTATACACATCTAGATGTGTATAAGAGACAGATATATATCNGGCCGAGGTACTGTCTCTTATACACATCTAGATGTGTATAAGAGACAGGTATAGGGCAGACAAACGTACACAGTTGAATGACTGAAAAAAATGCCCTTACACAGAGATTCCCCGCCAAATTGTAGCCAGTGCATTTGAAATGCCACCTCTTAAAATTATAGCCAGTGCTTTTTGAATGCCATGATCAAGTCGTTCCTTATTTTCAGAAGTATGCGTTCGTCTCTTGCAACTTCTTACCATCTTGCCTTTATTTCCAGAGAGTGGAGCAAGCTGTTGTTCAGGCCTTTGACGAGGCTGGAATCGAGACCAAAGTTGTTAACCGCCTTGAGTATTGCGATGCTCTCATTGCGTGGGCTGATGCAGTAGTCACTACGGGAGGTGACGGCACTTACCTGCTAGCGGCGTCAAGGATACGTGACAGAAGCAAGCCTGTCATTGGCTTCAATTCAGACCCAACGCGCTCTAAGGGGCAGCTCTGTCTTCCTGAGAAATATTCAGCTTCTCCCAGAACTGCTGTGGCTCAGTTACGCAGAGTGAGTATTGGGTCTCTTACTCAACCTGTTGAAATTAAAGATCACAATGATAATTTTTTTCCATGCATATTCGAACCCCTAAACCCTGATATTACATCACCTGATTTCTAGATATACTTTTTTATTTATTCATGTTTTTAATACATTAGTGAAATTTCAAGATGAGTTCTATAAGCTAAATGAAAACTAGTTCTTTTTGCCAGGGGCTGTTCAGATGGCAGTATCGATCCCGCATATACTTTTTTATTTATTAATGTTTTAATACATTAGTGAAATTTTAAAAACAAGGGCTATAAGCTAAATGAAAACTAGTTCTTTTTGTCAGGGGCTGTTCAGATGGCAGTATCGATCCCGCATCAGAGTAACACTGCGCGGTGAACACATTTACCAAGCACCGATTGAACTGCACGACCAGCAGCTCCTCAACCCGGAGTACAGGTGAACACTCGTGTCCATTTTTGAACAAATTATTTTAACTGTGACCAAATGATAACTGATTTGTTTTACAATGTTTTTGAAACAAATGATTGTTTCACAATGTTTCTGAAACAAATGTTTGTTTCACAATGTTTTTTAAACAAATGTTTGTTTCACAATGTTTTTGAAACAAATGTTTGTTTCACAATGTTTGTTGTGCTAGGCATATATGTGATAGTATATTTATTCTTTTCAGATATTTGGACATCGATGCAAACTTGAAGAGTGAACATGTGCGGCACTCCTTGTCAGAGTGGGGCCAGGCTGACCCCTCGCTGCCTACAAGAGTTCTTCCTGTATTGGCTCTCAATGAGGTCAGCAAATCCTGTTTGTTTCTTAACTTTGTTCAGTTGAACGCTATTTTGAGGGATTGTTTGATTTCACTTCGAGCGACACGCTTTCTTTTTGATCAGGTTACACACGAGTGTTAATACATCTGGTTACACACGCGTGTTAATATACCAGGTTACACACGAGTGTTAATGTAAAAAGTTACACACGAGTGTTAATGTAAAAAGTTACACTCGAGTGTTAAGTATAAAGCTACACATGAGTATTAATGTATAAAGTTACACACGAGTGTTAATGTATAAAGTTACACACGAGTGTTAATGTATAAACTTACACACGCGTGTTAATGTATAAAGCTACACACGCGTGTTAATACACCAGGTGTTCATCGGGGAGTGCATATCAGCGCGCGTGTCGTACCTGGAGTTGCAGTTCGACGACCAGGCGCCAGGGAAGCACAAGTGCTCAGGTCTCATCGTCAGCACGGGCACAGGCTCCACGTCCTGGACCTACAACGTCAACAAACTCACCGAGCAGAACCTCGAGCAGGCAAGTGCTCTGCTCTTCTGGGGTATTTCTTATTACGTCCAGTGAATCGGGAGAAAAAAGTCAAGGGTTTAGAGGTAGAATCGTGAGGAGCTTAAAATAAAATGTGTAAGTTTAGTCATCAGGAATATATTTAGTGAATAAAGAGCTATCTCAAGCTGAACTCATTAAAGTAAACTGCACATGGTAGTACAAGATGTTACTGTCTTCCATTCACTATAATACTCCTTGTATAGATATATTAACACGTTTTTCTTTACTCAGCTTCGCGTTTGTTTGTTTGTTGTTAACATTGACAACGAAAATTAGCCCACTTCTCATTGCTCTAGAGATCTGAAATTTGGCATGCAGGCTATATTGATAGTATATATTTTTAAATTTAGAAATTCCGAGTTATGATTCCTTAACTCGGTTAATTGAACGAAGACTATGCCAGCCGTCAGGAGGCCGAGACATCCGAGACAATTTTAATTCAGCAGGAAATCCTGATAAAAAATTGGTAATGGTATACTGTACCTAAAAATGAGGGAGGGACAAATAAGCCGGTAGGGCCATGATGGTTAAGAATTGTTAAGGGGGCATGAATTATGTAAGCCTGTGCTGTGCAAAACCAGTCATGTTTCAAAGCGATCTAGTGTGGTTTGCGGCTCTTGAGTTCCGAGGCTGAGCAATAAGCATGACTATAGTTGTTGAGGGCACGCGTTTGCTACGGGGATGGTTTAAGGAGTTAAATTTACGGCTGCAGGGCTGCCACCCTGCTGCTTACATGTAATTTAGCATCACCGTAGTATCATCGTTCGGCATATCATCATATCGTGGCTGTCGCCCGAACATAAAGACTGAAGTTGGTATGACTTTCAAAGCCATCTTCATCTCGTTATTGAGAATTACCGTGACTGGAAATTGTAGGGTTAGAGAGGGTTCACGCAAAATAAAAATCTGCTGTGCGGTGCTTAGTGAAAGATCNAGACTTGGTCGTGGTGTTGCACTTGTGGCCTAGGTATTCTACGTACTACAAGCACTGCACACGTCACAGACTTGGTCGTAGTGATACACTTGTGGCCGAGGTATTCTACTACAAACACTGAACACGTCACAGGCGACTACTGAACACGTCTTTCTCTCTTTCATTCGTCATGGTCGTAACGTCTTGTACTTTTGTAAACAATTTTACGATCAAAGCAATTTTTTTGTACTCCGTATACTGACGTTTGTAGGCCTGGTTCCTTCTGAGCTGTAGGAACTGCACCAGCCTAATTCCTGCACAAATAGATTTTCTGATGATTTGTTACTTAACTTGACTTTAAGGGAGGAAGTCATTTTCGAAAAACTCTGAACTGATCCACTCCTCTGCGTTCGACTGCCTTAATTACGTTCTAAGTATTTTGATATTTGAAGAATTTGCGGGTGAGTTTTATGTTTTATATTGTGAATGGAATCTTTTTGTTCCTGTACCAAAGTATTTCTGACGAAGTTGTACTCGTATAATGCTGGGCATGTGAGATTTTAATAGGGATAATTTTATTGAAAGTCAACGCGGACTCTACTCAATGTGGCGTTGCACGTGGGCGTTCTTACTTATGGGCATCTTAGTAACTTACTTGCTTAGGATATGGCGCGGCACCGACGACGTTATTTGCGCCCATCTTAGTAACTCAGTTGTTCCTCAAGTATACTGTAGAGATTTATAAGTATAGGCTGAGCTTTAGATGCTTAATATATACAGTATTTAATAGATTGATTATTTTCTAAAGCGCTTTTAGTTTGCCAATGATTTTTTATTAATTATTAAATGTATTTATTGACTTGGTTGACTAGTATCGACGGGAGGAAGTGTGTGCAGCCATGGACCCGACCAGCTCACAGTCGCTGCGTAACTACACGTAATTTATTTCCTATTTAGTTAACGTATGTGTTGGGGCTTATTGTTTATTTGGCGAAGAAGAAAGTTTATTTATTTCGTATTAATTAGGATGTCTATGTGGGCTTGGACTAAAAGTCTTGCAATAAATTATGGGGAGAGATGTCTTGCGATGTGCCAAATTCACTCTACTGCTGTGGACGCGAAGGGGACTCCTCCAGCAGCTCACCACCTTCGTGCCATCTAGTTGTGATTTTTTATATTTGTGATAATCTAATGTGTGGAATAAAAATTACTTTGTTTCATTGTCGTTCGCGATAGCGGTTTTCATCAACATCGTTGCCAAGTAATATGAAGCAATAATATGTTCTTGCGGGCAAATCCCTAAAATAAGTTCAAGCCCTTGCACATAGAATGGAAAACTAATGTCTGCGATGAGCCCGTTCTACTGAACAGTTATAGAATTTGAGATTCCTTACCTCGTCTCAGAAAAGAACATTTCGTTTATTAACCCTTGTCCTTATGTGTACTACTGTAGGAAATTATTCCCTACCCTGGGGAAAACCTCTGCTAGACATTTCAAGCACTTAATTTTACAAAAGGCCACTACCAGGATGGGCAACTACAACAACAACAACGACAACAAAAGGAGAAAAACAAATTGAAGATAGTTGGGTATTTCAATTAGATTTCATTGATGCAGGAAATGTTTCACTTCAAAGGTCCCAGGTCATAACGGCTTTTTTACTCGAATACCGTAAGAAATGTCCAGGTTCGTATGACGAAGGCGCAACGAAGTTTTTAATTAAAGACGATGTACTGGGTAAATGAAGCAAGTTATTAACTTGCTGGCACTCGAACACTGTGCAAATATTAGGCTATGTAAATATGACAATATGATATAGTTATTGCAGCTTACCATATTTAAAGGAAAATTAGTGCACATAACACAGTGCTTCTGTGTGAAATTTGATGTGGTTAAGTATTTACAGGGACATTAAATGCGGCCACACAACAGGAAGGTTGCAAACCGCAAAAGATACAGGTGTTAGAATGCCAGAGTTCCACTATTTAAATTTCACAAAAATTCCTGATATAATACTTTGACAATTAAGTTGTAGCTAAAGAAGTAAGATATTATAGGACGCAAACGTGACGCACCAATTTAAATGGACATCTTAATCGACGCATAAATTAAACACGGTCTTAACTTTAAGCAATGCGCCTCTGAATATTTCTTCGCCAAGAAAGTGCAACGACATATCATGACATGAAATTCAGTAAAGGATAAGTTCATTCAAATGTGGCGTGTGTGGCAGAGCGTTAACAAAAAAAAGTGGCAAAATCAAACATTATAAGATTAAAGGATAACTTTTCAATTGGTTTGCATGAGAAATTTTTCCCAACAAATGAGTAGTCAGCCGGCAGTGCGTCCTATGTGACGAAATATTCTATTCATGAACAAGTGATGAAATTTATATATAAATCTGTTACCAAGTTAACAGTAAATACAACATGCTCAGCTGGTTAATTAAATAGAAGGGAATTATTAGTTAGAATTTTTACAGTTACTTATCGTTTGTTCAAGGAGATTTTTAATATTATTGTTATATCTGATCCACTCAGCCGGAGCTTATCGTTGCGGTGGTAGCCGGGTTCATGGGTCTAAATTCAACATCTCCGTCTATTTTCACAAAAAAATATAACTCAGTACTCACTGCAGTGAGTGACAGAGAGCGCATTTTCTCGTCGACTAAATGGAATGGCTAATCACACGCTGGAAACAACGCTTTTACTTTAATTTAAAATATCAAATGTTTAAGCCTTTGTTTAGCGCTGATGGATTTATTTCACTTGGTTGAGTAAAGTTAGTGCGTGTTGACCTCAGGTTGCCTTGCCTTCACAATTCTGCTGGGAATTTGTGAAACTTTGGATCTGAAAGGTGCTCGTCGTTCGCGATGAGTCATGCAAGATGCAGCCCTGCGATAACTATTAATGATCAATATCAAGTTTGAATTTTAAGTTAGCTCGAATATTGCATGTTTTGTACTTTCTTGAATTTCAGTTGCCATATTATTTTCGATTTGAAGTAGGTTAAGAGTCGGGTAAGATAATATTCTCCTCACCTTCGATAAATTACCAAGTTAGGCGACCGATTATTTAGAAATCCAATTTTAAAATCTGATCTTCATAATGGTTCAATTTAATAATAACAATAGCAGTTACAGCGTTAAATAGGTCGTGGGCCTGTCGCCGATTCTTATCGCAGAACATTCACAGCATTTTGCGGTCTCGAACTCGCAACTCACTGCTACAATTCTGCTATGCTTAACCTGTCTCTTATACACATCTAGATGTGTATAAGAGACAGGTNGCGGCTCTTGAGCTCCGAGGCTGAGCAATAAGCATGACTATAGTTGTTGAGGGCACGCGTTTGCTACGGGGATGGTTTAAGGAGTTAAATTTACGGCTGCAGGGCTGCCACCCTGCTGCTTACATGTAATTTAGCATCACCGTAGTATCATCGTTCGGCATATCATCATATCGTGGCTGTCGCCCGAACATAAAGACTGAAGTTGGTATGACTTTCAAAGCCATCTTCATCTCGTTATTGAGAATTACCGTGACTGGAAATTGTAGGGTTAGAGAGGGTTCACGCAAAATAAAAATCTGCTGTGCGGTGCTTAGTGAAAGATCACATGGAAGGCGTGGTTAGTGTGTCTGAGTCTGCCTTGGAATCTGAAAGGCCTTAACCGTATAAAATCCCTGTAAATGTGTTCTAGATATAATTCTAGACTAAAACATTTTAATGTATTTCCTTCTCTAACGATTTTCATAGTGGAAGATGTCAATCTGGAACGAAGGTGATTATGTAGTAAATGTACGTTTAGACGAGAGGGTCAGTGACGTCGGTATTAAATGTTACTCCTAAACGTCGCTTAATGAGCGCATAGACAGCAGTTCTATGGGTCAAGGCAGTTACCTACTTCACGACTGTCCCTTTTATTTTAAACATAAAAAAGTGAGAGTAAAGAATATCCCGACAATTGTGCGGCAACGGCGGCCTTGCTTGCGAGCAATCGCTATTTGGACCGTAAAACAGGCAATTGAAGCGGCTGTTCCCGAGAAAAACTGCCCGGATACAGCCGGTGGCCCACCGCCATCTCACGGCAAACATTGACTAAGCGATCACGTCCGACTCGTGGACTTGAAAAATTCCGCCTCGACGGCACTGCGTGATTTTTTTAGCTTGGCCACTGGTCGTGGCCGCTAGAGGACAAGGTCTCCAACGACGTGATCGAGAATTAAGAAGTTTAAACGACTGAGCTTTTTTACTAGAATGTTGGTTGAGGCTTGAGGTAAAACGTATTCCAATAAGTTGTGGAAAATTATATTTATTAGCTTATGTATATTCGGCAGCAATGCGAAGCGAGCTGGCTTCTCTTTTTCTCAAGAGAACCTTGATGTGACTTATTAGTTCAGCTTTACGTGTGAATGACTTTATTCAACGAGATATTAGTTTGTCACGACAAAGAGAATTTGGGGAAATATCGCAGCACCGGTGAGCGGTACACAGGTGAGCGGTGCAGTAATAGTGGTGTTATCAATATCCTGCTAATAAATAATGGATATTTAACAACTCCAACTTGAACGTTACTAACTGGCACGTTACTCATCACAAGTCCAACTCCTGACCAATGCTGTTGATTAACCTATTCATTGGTCTTTTCGAGCTTCTTAGTAAATATATGAGTAAATGAACCACGCACCAATATTTCCTGACAAGTTACGATTTTGCACTCCGAAAATATAGTACCGCAGAACCAAACTGTTCGAGACCTCAACACAAAAATGGTGCAAATTTTGATAGAATCCAGCGTGTATCGGGCAGCTTGCACTATGGTTTCGTTGGCATTAACTACAAACGGCATTAGCATTAACTCTTTGCTAACTTTTTGTATTGTTTTATTGTGACATCTTCCTGAGTTACTATGATACTTCATTCGTAATGTCTGCGAGTAGTTAGTAGTACAAATCCTCATGAGCTTACCAGCAGACCTATTAGCTTCGAGTTACTATGAGCTTGTCTCAGACGCCGAGTCGACAGCTTTTACACCATATGTGTCACGAGGGCAAGAGCTCGGTGAACGCAGGTACGAAGTTTATAAATGGGCTGGGAACCTCAGTAAGGCACGTTTTAGTGATGCTAAGATGCACTAGCGCGCTAAACACGCCACGTTTTAGTGATGCACTAGCGCGCAAAACACGCCGCGTTTTAGTGATGCTAAGATGCACTAGCGCGCAAAACACGCCGCGTTTTAGTGATGCTAAGATGCACTAGCGCGCTAAACACGCCGCGTTTTAGTGATGCTAAAATGCACTTAGCGCTAAACACGCCACGTTTTAGTGATGCTAATGCACTTAGCGCTAAACACGCTGCGTTAGTGATGCTAAGATGCACTAGCGCCCTAAACACGCTGCGTTTTAGTGATGCTAAGATGCCCTAGCGCGCTAAACACGCCGCGTTTTAGTGATGCTAAGATGCTGCACGGTCGGCCAGCCCGCCTCAAAAGTGCCTGATTGATGACGCTCTAACGACGCGCGCTGATGCGCCTCGTAATGCTGCACTCCGCCCTTGGTTTTTGCCTCTTCGCTAAGTGCGTCGCTATGATGCATCACGATCAGGGCTGAGTGTATATATTATGCGGGGGTAAACAGTGTTGCGTTGAAAGTTATATTAAGAAAGGAAGTTATGTCTTAACTTGCTTTACTTCAGATGCTATAATAATGAATCTTGATAATGATTCATTATTATAATGAATCATGATTTGAAAAAAAAGTATTGCCGACCTATATTAAAAGCTTGCTATGACGTGGTTTAAATGAATAAAATTACGGTTGTCCTAACGGAAGTGATTACTTGAAAGTGAACGCACTTTCTGAACCAAGATGCGTCTCAACATCCCCAATAATCATTTCGAAACGACCATGACTGAAGAAGATTATTTGTTGTTTACGGGGCCGTGAAGCTGCCTTCAAGTTCCGGTCAGTCCAAGCACCGCAGTTAAGAAAGCTCCAGGCTTCACGTATCTCTTGCTTCCATCTGCTATCGCTTCCCGACACGACACGTTCCTCAAGCTCCGAACAAATAACTCTACGAGCTGAATGCTGAGCTTCTTTGCTGCGCTTCTATAAACTAAAACTTGCACAAAGCCTCCGTTGAGCTTTTCGCTCAGACCTACAATGGGCAGGAAAAAACAAGTCTCTTGAATAGCAGTTTGTTGCGAAAAAGACTACGTAATGATTCTTTTAAACTCCTCGAATCAGCTATCGAAAAATAAGATAATGGCTCGTTAATTGCGAAGTCGCCCGGATTTTCGGCAATTCCGTTCTATAGCTGATAAAGCCTCTCTAAACTTTGCGAATTTCAATTAAATTCCAAACCATTAGTCAGATCTAAAAGGCTTGAAATGCCATTGTAACGAGATTTTTTTCGGCCGGAGGTAAGTGCTGTTTTCTTCTGGAGCGATAGCGGAAAAGTTGGAAACACGCGAAGAACTCGAGGATTTTTTTAAGTAGCACATGAACAGAGCCTAACCATATCAGGGATGAAACATTTGCAGATGGAAGGGCTTGAGGAATTCCTGATGATTCGATGTCGATCTATGAATCTATCTATAAAACTCTCAAAATTTGCTGTTTTTTACATTACATTGTATGAAAGTCCACGCTTTTAGCCTTGTCATTCATTTGTACGGACGAAAATATAAGTTTATTCCTCGATTATTCTAAGGATTTAATCTAAATCATTGCAAAAAGGAACCAATTTAAACGAAATTTGAGATTCATTTGTTAGGATTTTTCCACGCTGGCTATCGCGAGAAGCCTGAGTTTTGAGCGAGCGTCTAGCTCAGACGTGCCCGCTTCCTTTGAAGCCCGTGGTATGCATGCTAATCAGCGCTTCAGATTTTCTCGTTCCAACAAAATTTGAAAAACTCGAACGCTTGAGTTTTTTTGTGTTTTCTTGATGCACGGAGCTTCCATAATGCAATCGGGAGCGTTAATATTCATTAGCTCAGACGAGAAGGATGATTTGCAGTCCGCGCTGCTACGTGACTTCTGTTAGCGGACGGGAAGTCAAATGAATGTTTTTCAGGAAATTAACGAGGATGATGATTCACAGAACTACTTGAGGGAAGGTGGAACGAGAAAATAATGCATCCGTGGGAGCTCGGAATTGCCGATTTATTGACAGTTTCCCAGCGCGGTAAGGCAAGTAGTACGATATAAATTATAAATGCATGAGCTGGCAAGTTTATCAAGAACTGATCGTCCATTATCATTTGTGTAACGTAGCTTTGTTTTGAAATGTATTTTTGTATCACTTTTTCAACCTGTGAAGACTCTGACTGGATTAGGCTGCAAAGTTTCATATATTAGTTTAATTAGCTATTTTAGAATCGTGTTCAATTTTTGAAAAATTACCTCTTGTACATTCCGTAAGCAATTATAGAAAACTTTTGTCTTCGAATATTGAACACCGACAAGTTTTTGATCTTCGTTGTCTAAACAGAGCAGCCGTCATTCGGCTTCACATTCCCTTCTAATAATTGATTAATTACGAGCGTGTGGGACGTGAATTATCAAATTAATTGAGTGTGGGGAGATTGCAATTATGAGGCGTCAGTTCTCACTCAACGGACTTCGCGCGAATTGATCTCACAAGGATCAAGAGTCCTTCACCCTCAAAATGATCAAGGGACACTTCACCCTCACGAGGATCGTAGTGCACTTTACCCTTACAAAGATCACGAGAAACATCTCACTCACAAATATCAAGGGGCACTTCAACCTCAAAACGATCATGAAGCCATTCATCCTCACAAAGATCAGGGGGTTTTATACCTTCACAAAGATCAAGGGGCGCTTCACTCTCACAAAGATCATGCAGCTATTCATCCTCACAAAGATCAGGGGGCTCTTCATCCTCACAAAGATCATCAACACTTCACTGTGCGGAAGATCATGAACACTGGGGGGGGGGGCGCACTCCACCTGAATGCCTAGCTTGGAATGCATATATAAGGAGTTCATATGCCAGTATTGTTCATGACCTGACATCATTGGGTGATGACAATCAATTTCCTCACATGAACGTATGCGGTTCTAGAGTCTGACAGTATAGCGTCTGATCAGTTTGTCTTAATTTACATCGTAATGTTTGATACTTGTTTTATAATGACAAGTTCCAATCCTTAATCATCATCATACCTTTAACCTGGACATAGTAAAAATATTATAACTATTACCCAGCTTGCTTAAAATACCCTTGTGAAATGATGACAAATTTAGTCTAAACCAAACAACAAATCGAAACAGAACTAAAGTGAGAATTCGGTGAGTATTTTATGTTCTCGGGGCTTTTCTCTCGCAATTTTGAGCTGCAAAGGTGGTCGGAATTTTTTTGGCTAGCAGCTGTAGACCACATATTTCTGAGCAGGTGCTGCCCCCGAGTCGCAGATGTAAGTAGCTGCTGTTGCTATCAGCGCAGTTGCGACCGTTATAACTCCAGCAGTATTTCTCAGGAAGCCTGGGCAACTGTAAAGGAATTCCTTGGCTCAGCCACACGCTTTATTTATAGCGGCACCAGAGGCATCCGAAGAGGCTTTCTGTGTTGCCACCGTGACTGTGAGGAGAGGCTTTGTGTGTTGCCACCGTGACTGTGAGGAGAGGCTTGCTGTGTTGCCACCGTGACTGTGAGGAGAGGCTTTCTGTGNCCCTTGTGGTGATAAGTTAAATGAACATTCTCACCCTTGTGATGCTAAGTTAAATGAACATTTGTACCCTAGTGATGATAAGTTAAATGAACATTTGTACCTGTGAGATTATGGGTTCAAAAATTTACGACATTGCCAGAATTTTTGAGTGGATCCTGACAAATACAGAGGCTTGTGAATTGAACGTTTAATCAATAATTCTTTATTGTAATTCAGAGTTTACTTTAAGAGTTGCAAAACCTTCACTTTAGTTTATAACGAATACAGTGCATGCAAAAATTCGTAAAACTGTAATAAAATGTCGTTTTGCAAGCCTTATGTTCGAATTTTCAAATCTTATCAAAAGCCTAATGCACCAAATTGAGAACATCAAAAGGAAAATAATTTTTGTTAATAAGAAAAACTCGCCGGTCTTCAACAAAACCTGCATCAAGTGGACATTTCTTGCACTCGCATTTATTACCGTACTTTTTGTGGTAGTTCAAGCAACAACTAATTGCACATGTTTAGAATTTAAGGATAGTCATTATTTTATTGCATATTTAGCTACTTCTATGTGTTTGCCTACCTTCGGAAAAGGTGTGTTCAGTTGCTTATCCAGTATTCATGCGTCACCGCTTTAACATTGATTTGTTTAAGCCTGTAGGTTAGTAAAACTCTCCAGCGATGTTAGAGAATAATCATTGTCCCTAAAGAATTAATTTCAGAAGCTGGCTCGTTGTCTCGCCAGCCTCCACCTTCAACTGCTCTTATTCTTCATATTGCAGTTGTTTAAAAAATAATTCCCAACTCTAGCCGTCCCAAAACTATTTGTTTTCTTGAAAAATAAACACAACTTCAAAACTTTCCGCCGAGTTCCACTTTTCTCAGAGGCAGTCGAGAAGTTGCTTCTTGGAGATGTGATGAACGTTGTCTCTCGGTTTCTTTCGTTGGGCAAAGTTTTACAGTGTCCAGGAAAAAATTATATATGCCTTTGAAGTGACTTCTGACGACCGCCGAGATAATCTAATTGCTTTTGCTGAAGTGAAGTTCATTGGACAAATTAAATTAAAATTGACGTGGGTTCCAGTTTAAATATTGAACTGAAGTAAACTTCTTGAGAAACTACTACCTTAAGAAGAAAAGATCTCTACTATAGAATCAATATACTTTCTAACTTCGGCAGAACAATATAGGCTAGCCTAATCAATGATACTTTAAATACTTTGAACTGCTTTTTAAAATCCTGAGGTGATTGTGCATTTTCTAAATAATGGAATATATATAAATACATTAACAATTCGGGAACATTATTTAGCTTTGAATGAACTGTGAACTAATATTATATAGCGAAACGCCAATGATTCCCATTGTATAAACGAAAGAACACTTGTAAGCTGCATAAATCATGCATGGAATTGACAATAGGTGTCACCTTGCAGTATTAACCTCCCATGAAATTTATGATGCTTGGAATTGAGTCCGAGTCTCAATGAAGGCGCTGCTGGATATATGAAGGTGCGAACAAATTCCCATACACAAGCGAGACCATATTTGTATCGCAATGCTTCACGTGAAGCAGCGCGAAGGTCTGCAGCGCCGGGGTCTGCTGAGGCGCGCGTTTCTATCATATTAGACCCTAAATATGCAGCGCCGGGGTCTGCTGAGGCGCGCGTCTCTATCATATTAGACCCTAAATATGCAGCGCAGGGGTCTGCAGCGGCGCGCGTCTCTATCATATTAGACCCTAAAAATGCAGCGACTGGTCTGAGATGAATGGCCGGCAACGAGTTCCTCATTGCCAGCCCGGCAATAAATCTCAGAGTATTAAGAGCGGCAATCCTGCAAATCATGCTTTGCCGCCTGATTTGAAAACAATGCCTCAGTTTCTTTCTGTAGATGCGCAATTTTCTGGCAGAGGGCGCTAAAAAATCTACATTGAAAACAATGGATCAAGCATTAGAAGAACATTTGAAAGAATTTATTGGACAGCTATTCTGTTTTGAATAATAATCCCCGAATTTTCAACAATACGATGCCCGTTTTATGGATTTTAAACAACGATGATAGCATATGCCCTCAATTCCTCACGAGCACCCACTATACATTGCTCGTTTAGGTGTTTCGTAGCGCCAGCGATATTCATATGTTTACCAGCTTGTTTGCAGTTTTTAAGCGACGGAAAATAGTTCACTACTTATTTAGTAAATGAGAAATCCATGAAAAATTTCAAATATTAGGAATAAGCAATGTCTGGCCTGCAGCGAGACCGGCTACGTGACATACGCTTCCGACCTTTCCACCATAGATTTGTCTCAGCGCGATGTAAAGTTGACGCTGTCGTGTGTGTCACTGTGTCCGGAAGGCAGTTGCGTCCAGCGTGCAGATTAATTTAGTTCATGTCCAAGACCTTTATAGTGAAAGCTTATAACTTCTGATCATGTTCGGTCAATGCCTCACAGAGTGGCGTTTAAATGATTAGGCTCTGACAGTTTCTGCCGCTTATTGTAGGCTTCTTGCCCGGCCACGGTTTAACACGTTTAGGCTAAGTGTCCTTTTTTCTGGATTAAACTATTTTCAACCACTCGTGTAGAATTGGAGAAACAGTGTCTTTCATAACCACTTATTTCTTGTGAACGCTGGCGTTCAGCCTAATGTGGTCATTTGTTGAGTTAAAAGCACTGAACGCCCGATCACATAGCGCGATAGGGATAAACATACCTCATGGCAATGTTCATGTACGTACATACTGTATATCATGAGTCGCGTGGCTGGGAATTATCTCGTCCTTTCGTCAGTTCACTTTCGAGATGACAGCTCATGGCGGTGGCTGCTACTCATCAATATTATTGAACTAACTTCGCAGCGTCTGTGCTGTCATTCACTTGCAATAACGCGATTTTGAACACCCGCAATTATTATTCGTTCAATGACTATCTCCGACAGGTATCTTAATTTGAAAACTATTTTCGCAATTCTATTGTTCTGCGAAGAATCTGCCGTGCTTTAAAAGTAGCGTTTTAACTATAATTGTAATTTGAGCTACACGTGTTCAATTTGCCACGTTAGAAATGCCGAGTTCCAAATTTGAATAATAATTACAGCCGTGTGTGTTCAGTTAGAATAGTATCGAAAGTCACAAATGCTTAATTTGAAGTGTTCTCCGACAGAACAATAGTTACAGTTAAACGTGTTATATTTATGTTGTTTTAGTAAAAATAATATTTCCAGCCATTCGCGTTCAATTTGCAGTGTTGGTCAAGCAATGTTCCAAGTCTAAGCGATGTTCTAAGTATGGCGGTATAGCAATGTTCTAAATAAGTAAATAGTGTTATGAGCTATACCGCCATATGTATTAAGGGGGAGGTCCACCCTGAAATTTTCGGATTTAGCATTTTTGGTTTTCAGTCTCATCTTAAAGCTGACATTCTGCCCTATCGAACGGTACCACTGCGATCCCTGTACGTGAATTTATACGTTCATGACGGCTCTTTAAAGGGAGGCGGGTGGGGGAGTTCCTTCACTAATTAGATACAAGGTAATTAGCTGCTGAGCATTTTAAATATAGTGTCTGATTGAGTTGCGCTTTAGTTACTCGTTTAGTCTCACCTTAAAGCTGACATTCTGAGCTATTCAACGGTACCACTGCCGTATGTGTACGTCAACATAAGCGTACACGACTGCTCTTTAAAGGGGGGGGGGAGTTCCTTCAGTAATTAGATGGGGCAAAATTCGCTGGCCAGCACTAGATATATGGTGTTTTCTGGCATCAAGGCTCAGTCACCCGCCTCGCTTCGCACGGAGAGGTGTGCTGCAAGTCGCTGCTACCATCCTTGAGTGGAAGCAAGCTACACAAGCCTGTAGTTTGGTATCCATGCTACATTGAGTGCCTATTTCGAGGCGCGCGGGACTTTGTCGCGTTCTCCTGAAAAGTTTACCTTATTGTCACGGAAAACCTATCTCCTCCTAGAGTTTTGAAGCTACAGCGATGAGACATATACCATTCGATTCGTAAAAACCATACCTATCGAGTAAAGAAGCCTTTTTTAAGATTTGTGCGTAGTTTGGATTCGAAATGGGGGGAAGGGGGGGGAAATTTGAAGAAAAAAAAACGGAAAAATGCGTGTAAAAAAAACTAAGGCAAAAATAAAAAATCGGGCTTCGTTACTCGATTGGTATGGTCTTCACAAATCGAATGGTATATGTTTCATCGCTATAGCTTCAAAACTCTAGGAGGAGATAGATTCTTTAATTAAAAACCCCCTTTTTTGGC